TAATCACAGTTTTCACAGTCACACAACAAAAACTGGCTAATTCTATGCCACCCCACTGCTGGGAATTAGCCACTATTTCACAGACGGGGAAACAGAGATGCGCTAGGTTAAGTGACTTGCCTAAGATTGCAGAGGAAGTCAGACCTGGAGACAGGCCTAGAGCCTCAGTAATTCCTGGCTGATCCCAGTCCTGTCCTCATTCCTCTATCCTTCCCTCTCTCCCCCTGCCCTGCAGTCTTGGCTGATTAGTCAGTGTCAGTGCAAACTCTCTCACTACTGACTTAGCACATATTTAACAGGTTAGCCTGCAGTTTGAGGGCATCCTTGAGCCATCCAAGACCTCTCAGTGTCTCCAAACTTACTTTCTTTCACCCACTGCCTGCTTCCCCAACAAACATTCTCCATCATGCATAGATGTACACAGCAGACCTTTCCTGAGAGCTGCCGCAGGAGAGAGTCGGGAGTTGCTGGTTCCGCTCCCTGGGGCAAGGCCGATGATCGGGAAGCGGATCTTTGGAGGAGACAGGAGGGAAGGAGGCCCTGTGGTGGTGGGCGAGTAACTGAACAAGGAGGAGCTGTAGCTGGGCCGTCTGCCTTCCCGTCTGTTGCCGTCAATTGCAGCCTGCAGCTCGGCAGGAGAGCTTAGGGACTTCTTCTCACATTCGTAGGCATATAAGTACTTCATATACCTGGGAATAAAACACAGGGGGGAGGGAATTCAGGCAAGTGTACTCAGCAGCCCCTGTAAAAAAGGGGATTCTGGGAATGTTCATGGTACTACACATTGCCCAGGAGTGCATGCAGGACTGGGCCCTTTGGACCTAACTCTGCCAAACAATATTCATTATCGCTTTGTGTTCTTACGCTTGCTCTGCAGCCTGCTCTGTAGTTAGAGCGCCAAGTGTCATTTTCAGATGACGTTCGTGGACTCTGATAGTCCAGACTTTGCAGGGAAGATGCTACGTATGTAGATCTAAGGAAGCAGGAAGAAAGTTGGACAGAACATAGTCTTTAAGAAATTGCATGTGGTCCCAGAATGAAAGACCGTCATTTGCACGCTTATGGAGAAGAGGAAGGGTTAAGGGATCAACTCTAACTTTCAAATTGCTTGACTGGAGTGACAAGCTCTACAACTATAATGTTCTCTTGGGTTTACCCCACTCTCTTGGAATTTTTAGGTGAGTTTTGGGGGGAGATGTTTTCCTGACTGTCTTAGGGAGGTTTACAGGAGAAACTCTCCTTTCTCTGAGCCCAAAGAACTGCCAAGCTCCAAGAATGGCACCCACCTAGGCTCCCGATACAGTGCACATATGGGGTCCCTACCCCTTTTGCACTTTCAGGGTTCAGAAGGATGGGACCAAAGCACCCATGCAGCCATTTCCAGCATCCAGTTTATTATGGTATCACTCTGGGACTCTAGTCACTGACCTAGTTATAGATTCAAGGGCTGACTTGATGATAGTCTCTAAGTACCCTTCAGTTTAGCAGAGAAAGGTAGAACACAGTCTAATGGATGGAGGATAAAGCTGCCCAAAAATAAGATGTACATTTATAGCAGTGAGAGTAATTAATCATTACAACAACTTACTGAAGATTGAGTAGATTCTTCACTGCTGACAATTGTTGTCACAATCCAAAAGCTCTGCTCTAGGCATTATTTGGGGGCAATTCTCTGGCACGTTATGCTTGGGGGGGGACGGTATTAGACTAGATGACCGCATTGTGAATCAGGGCCCTGCTGTGCAAGACACGCCCCTCCAGTACATTATTCACTATGCCCCTAAATTAGCTGCACAGGTTCCAGCAGCTCCTTTGTTCTCTGTTTTCTTCAAGAATGTGGCAAAAATCCCTTATTAACTGTACTAGGCATATATGGCAAGTGATTTCTAAACCTGGGCACAACTAAACTTGACTGAGATCTCACAGGTATTTGTTCTCAGCCAGAGCTGTTTTCATGCCGATGTCCAATGTCCTATCCCCAGCTGTTTTGACTGTTTGAAAAAACCTAATACCTTACTCCTCAATTCTCCTGGTATTTACAAAAAAAAAAAAAAAAAAAAAAAAGTGCCTTAAAAAAAAAAAAAGTGACTTTCTTTAAAAAAAAAAAAAAGGCACTTTGGGAAGAGGCTGTGCCTGGAAAAGCACAGTGAAAAAGCACATTCCAAACTCTCCCAGAGTACAGAGAACACATTCAGAATGAAAAGAGTTTCGCAATCTCTGGTTCGGCGGTCAGACCACCATATAGCTCCTATAGAGCACGTTGCATGAGTAGATCTCAAAGCACTTCCCCAAGGTGGTCAGGATCATTAGCCCCATTTTACAGATGGAGATTTCTTTTTTTACCCTTTTTATACCCTTGCAGGAGGAATAACAGGTATTTCAAATTAGGGCTTTAATTCAAACTACCGGCTCCCTGCTGCGTGTAGCCACGGGCAGTTAGTCCGGACTAGTGAAATTTCAAAATGGCGACCGGACGGGAAGATGCAAATAAAGCCCAGGATATTTAAATCCCGGGCTTTGTTTGCAACTTCGAATGCCTACATTAGCCTCCCTAGTTCGAACTAGGGGGCTAGTGTAGACAGACCCAAAGAGACTCTCTGGTTTACAGAAGGAGAAACAAAGGGAGGGGCAGGTCACTCCAAAGTCACATAATTCGTCAGGGGCAGAGTTGAGACCAGAACCCCGAAGTCCTGATTCCCAGGGCCCTGCTCTAGTCACTAGACCTCACTGCCCCTCAACCTGGACAAAAATGTTAGCAGGGCGATTTCCACTGTTGCGTATTTTGTTGGTTCTATTCTGTGGTCCCTACATGTATTGCTATCCTACCTAATCTACATTAACTATTTGTGGGGTGGGGAGTATAGTATCTAGGTGCTGAACACAAATTGCCAACTCAGAAGACTGGATTATTATGATTACTAGTCACGTTTGCTACAGTTGTATCTAAAGCCAACCATGAACAGTCCCTCATCATGCTAGGTAAGGCACAAACACAAAGCAGCAGCTGCTCCCGGCCCCACAACTTACCATCTAGTCTACGGATGTGAATGACTAGTCGACAGACTAGTTGACTAGTCGCTTCCTCCCACCCCGCTTGCTGCCTCTATCAGAAAGAGGCAGCAAGCGAGAGGAGTGGAGGGGGGTACTTCAAAGTGGCAGCGCAGCATAGAGCCTGGGGCCAGATCCCAGGCTTTATGCAGCACTGCCGCTTTGAAATGCCACATGCAGCCAGGGGCCAACTGGGATGTCCCAGGCTGCACACAGCTTTTCAAAACAGCAGTGCTGCGTGGAGCCCCGGGTTAGCTGGGGACGCCCCTGCTGACCCTGGGCTCTGTGCGGCGTTGCTGTTTGAAACGCCGCGGGGACCCTGACGCCGGGATCCCTGCTACGTTTCAAAGGGTGTGTCTAGACTACAGGGTTTTGTCAACAAAACTATACCTGCGTCAACACTACTGCCGAGTTCTGTCAACATAACATCGACAGAAATCGGCAGTTTTGTCGACAGTGGTAAACCTCATTCTACGAGGAATAAAGCCTTTTGTCAACAGAGTTCTGTTGACAGAAGGCGTTATTGCATCTACACTGTCCTTTGCATCTATATTCTCATGTCGACGAAGCGGCTTGCTTTGTTGACAGAACTGGATGTAGTCTAGACGCTCTTTGTCGACAGAAGCTTTGTCGACAAAGCCACTGTTGACAAAAGCCTGTAGTCTAGACGTACCTAAACTGGCAGCGCAGCGTGGAGCTCGGGTCAGCAGGGGAGTCCCCAGCTAACCTCGTGCTCCATGCGACGCTTTTGCCTTTGAAGTGTAGTAACAGCCGTAGTGCCGTTGCTACATTTCAAAGGTGGAAGCACCCTATCGACTATTCGATTAGTTAATTACTTGGTATTTAACACCCCTAATCTAGACACAGGATGGGGGGAGGGTTAATCATGTGATGGCACCAAAAGGCATGCTAGCTCCATGGCTGTTATTTTCTGAAGGGTGGGGACAGATTTAGTTGGGAGCAGATCAGCGAAACAGAAAGACAAGTGAAGGGAAAGGGATCCTTGAAGAGAAGGTGGCTCAGAGGACAGAACCAGGGGAAAGAAGGTAAGAGGGAAAGGTGTGGAGTGAAGTTGAGGTGAAGAGACTATGGGGAACAAGGAGGAGAAAGCTCAAAGCAAACTGCTAAGGTCCGTTTTTGCCACTGCAGGAGTCAATTTGCTTATTTTTCCCCCCTCATCCCCTTTCTTCCTTTCTCCTCTCTATTCTTCCCCCTCCTCATTTCCACCAGCTGTGTGCTCCCAGCAGGAAGGCTCTGTACTTACTGGGTCCGAAGTGTAAACGCTGCACTGGTGATGGAGGTGGGCAGGTTAAGGCCTTTGGTGATCTCCCGCCATATCTTCTTGTTTATGATTTCCACCAGCCCCCCCTTCTCAGTCACCAGTTTGTAGAGCATGTAGAGATCCAGGATCTGCTTCGCCATGATGGGGATTCGATTGATGGGCGTTCCTGCAATATCACAACAGGACGGCAGGGAAGGGATCATGGAGACAGAAAATGAGGACAAGAAAAAGTCAGGCAGGTAGGAGCTATTGATCTTCCTGCTAGTGAGAAATGAAGGCAATCTTGTTTGTAACCTGACCAGAGCATACTCTGTAGGAAAGTAAATTAGAGAGACTTAGCTACACACCAAGTCTTGTTCATGGAAAATCCTTTCCTGCAGGCAAAAGCTATTACCAGACAAATAAAAACATGTGGATAGGCAGCAACTTGGGGAACAGGGAAATTCAGGGGAGGTGAAGAAGTTTTAAATGAAGAGGCTTTTAAATTCAGGACCGGAGATGTGAACTACAGCAGAGCAGCAGCAGAGTTTTGATCTATGGGAACTTCCCAGTGAACTACTAGACACAATTTGTTTCATTCCCGCTCTTGAGGAAGGTGAAGAACCCATGAAATAGCTCTTTGCAAAGAACGAGACCTGCTTATGCATCAGGATTCTCTGATGCGCTGTCAAAAATGTTCCCTTCCTCTCTATATTCTGTACTCGATGAGAGAGCAGAGATAGAAGGGAATGATGCTATTTCAGATCTAATCTCCCCTCTCCCCATCCACACACCCCTTTTTCAGTTGCTTCTGCTCATGCTCTTAGCACAGTACTTTTGATCTGACTCCTGTTTCCCCTCCCTCAAGTGACCCTAACCCCCTTCTCCCATTTTAACTTCTCTCTCACTCCTTATTTGGTGCTGACGCTCTCCCTGGCAGAGGGAAGCAGATTACAGCTGCCTCCAGACTCCATCAGAACTGTTCCTGCATAAGACAGAGGGTCAGCGGATGATCCCTCCCTCTAAGGGGGAGGATGGGGTTGCCACGTTGCTCCCAGTCCTTCCCACTGCAATCCTGGGGATGCTGAATTCTGACATTCTGTGTTACTGTGTCACTGCTGGCCCCACGTTTTTTCCTTTTTGGGGGAACAGAGGCGGGTGAGAGTGAAAGGAATTTGAACACTTACTCCAGCACCCTTTGTCTCCTTCAGCTCCAACCACAATTTAGCTTTTTATTAAGACCATATTTGCAAATGCTAAGTTCCTCCCACACCTTGTGTTTTATACTGGTGTTCAGCTGATTTAGAGTCAACATCTGCTCTTTCTGAAGACAGGTTTAACAGAAATCAAGATCAACTGAAATCTAATTTTTTTAAATCATTTTTAAGTGGGTTTTCTGGGTTGCTGATCTTTATAGTATTTGCAACCCAAACACAGTCACAATAAACAAGAGCCAGCATGTGAAACTAACTAGTCCATGTTTATTGTCCAAACTAAGCAGCAGTCGAGTGAAAGGTGCATTAGATTTCAGACACCGGCTATATCTTTCCTGCATCTGTTACTGAGCTGGGAAATCATGAGTCAATCAGCTTTCAAACACATTGCAGAACAACAGCAGTGCTACAGAGACACCTGCACATGGGAACTGGACCCAGTCAGGAGAGGCGCATAGATATCGGGGCAGGTATCCCAGAGGTCACAGCTCCACGGCTCACTGCTTCTCTAGGCTTCCTTTCCCAGTGTTGTGGGACAACCTACCTGTCCCTTCTGTTCAGTTTTAGGAATCTCACAGGTTATCACGGGCATAACATCTAATTTTTAACTGGCCAGTGTCCCTTTACCAGAACTCTAAAATAAGGAGATGGGGAGGGATTTTTAAGTTGCAACTAATGAAATCTAGCCAAGGAGAAAGAAAAATATAGGCATGGCAAATATTGAATTACACAGAAAGTGCCATGCTAGATCAAAGCAATCATCCATCTAACTTCCATCTAAATCACCTATCTATCTAGGGGCAGAAGTCCATACCAAAATCTTTACAGGAAGACATAAGCCAGTAATACACAGCTATGAAATAATTAGCCCATAAGGGAGATTTCTTCCAAACACTCACTAGTCAGTGGTTTGGCATATGCCCTAAAGCAAGAGAATTTATAGCCCTTATGAATGAATGGTTTTTATTCTGCTTTGTGGAAAGAGTCCATCTAAACTCCACTGACACTCCCCGTGCCCAAAGCGTGTAATCCTTTTTTAGAATCCTGTGATGCTTCTTCCCCTAGGAACCAGCTGGCATGGAGTTCCATGGGTTAATTTTCCACCAGTTAATTATATGCTATGTAAAATACGTCCTTTTGTTAGCTTTAAATATGCTACCTTGCAGTTTTATTGAGTGTCTCCTTGTTCTTCTATTATGGGTGAAGGTCAACTGGAACCCTGAACAGACAAGTCACCATTCTGCCTACAGCTATCTCCCTTTTTACCTGTCTTTGCTCTGAATAGTCCTCTCTTGCGCCACAGGGGAGACACCTGTCAAGCGGTAATGCCAGAGCTGTTATCTATTAGCAGTATCTCATCTGCCGCTTTCATTCTGCATCCTATAGTTTGCCTCTAGGACTAAGATTAGAATCATTCCCAAACAATTTAAATGTGTTTAGTTCCCATTCATCCTAACTAGCCATTCAGAGTTTAAACCCAGGGCTGGTCTGCACTGAAAGTTGAGGCTGTATGAATGTGTTGATTAGGGTGTGATTTTTTTACCAGTACATTTACACCAATACAGTTAGCGTTGATACAATTATACCAGTATAAAGATGCCCTATGCCAGGATAGCATATTCTCCTTCCATACGGCAAGCATCTTTATACGGATACATCTGCATGTAGCAGAGAAGAGTTATAATCACTGTAACCCTACCAGAATGGGTAAAGCAGTACAATTTTCTAGGGCAGACAAGGCCCTAGAACCGTGGCCTTGAATCAGTTTGAACCGTGAATCAGTTTGAACCGTGTTAAGAGTTTCAAGGTAGGTCACTTGGAATGGGTAAAGGTTCCGTGTAGACAGAGACAGCATTTCTGTACAGAAAACGTTGCAGGATCAACCTGGCAATAGCATATGCTCCACCTTCTCACCACAGCTTTTGCTGAATATGTCGATGACTTATCTGCCTATTTTCCTCAGAGGGCTTTCAGAAGCTGAACTGGGAACATCCAACGCTGCTGCCAGGCACTGTGTGTGAATAAAAATCATATCGATCCTTTCTTCAGCCCACCCCAAAAATAGGAAGCGAGTCTGGTTTTAACTCCTTTAATGCTGGATACAGCTCTCTGACCAGGTGGGTATTTGCAAGGGCCTGCCAGAGAATGTTCCAGCAAAGCAGACAATTACAAAAGTTGCACTGATGAGGCTACAGACCAGATCAGAGTCCAGTTCTTGGGTCAGCAATGAGGCGGAGGGAGAAATCCTCCTCCCCCTTATCTCTCCTTTTCCCCTGAGGCCATCTTGTGCTGCTCAACCTCCCCCCCTTCCCCAATCCAATTGAGAGAATGGTATTAGCTTGCTCATAAGGGACTTTCATCCAGCTATGCTTGGACAGTGGCCAGATGGGGCAGCTGAAACATGAAAGGATGGGCCATTAATGAGGTTCCTCAGGAAAACGGCCTGGCATGGGGAAATACTGAGCTATTACAGTTCAAAAACCAAAACAACAAACCCTGAACTTTAGCCAAATCTATTAGTTCCCCCCCCCCCCTTTCCAGTGTGTCTCAACCCAAGATCTTGAAATACTTTACATACATTAATCAATGAACTGCCCTTCCTCAGCATGGCTGTGAAAATATGATCCCCATTTTACAGATGGCAAAACTGGGGCAGAGTCAAAATGCAGCTGCAGGAACCCAGCTGTAGCCACCAGAAAACACCTTCCTATGGATAACTTTTTAAAACAGGACCCTTAATGGAAAAATCAGACAGAACTTCCTAAGAGTTTATGAAAATGACACCCAAAATCTCAGCATGGGATATTTTAATGGATTGTCTTTAACCATCCTGCCAAATTTTATAGGAGGGACACGCTTTGTTATGTTCCGTAGGAAAGCTAAAAACACAGCATAGAGGGAAGTGGTCACACTCTATGAAATGCTACAGGACTCTCCATAAAAGGAGAATGTTGAGTAACATTTTCTTAACTTGCATGAGCTGCTAGGGAATGCAACTGGGGTGGGGGGTTGGGTTCCTGTAAGCTCTGGGTGCTCTCCATGGCTTTAGTCCACCAGGGCTCAGCACATTTCACCCAAGCTGATTGAGAAATGCAGACGGTAAGTGAGGAAAGGCTGTTCTTTGAGCTCCCCTCCCCCCTCTGTCCTTTCAGAGGAAGGGAAAGGTGATAAAGTCTTTATTGGAAACCCCGAGCTCTGAACAGGAAAGGCTGAAAAACGAGCAGCATCACGGGACAGGAGGAGGCTGAAGCGGAGCGGATCCTTTCACAGTCGGCTGCAAGCCTTGTCAGGGCCCATGATGGATTACTGTCATCTGGCAGCATCAGGATTAATGATCCGGAGGTCAGAGGAGAGAATTCCAGAGGGAAAGGTCACTGACCTGGGGCACAGCATAAGACTTGTTGCTGTTTGATGGCAAACTCATTTTACTGTACTTTCCAGCATGTCTCCCTCCATTCAGCCAGCTCCCAGAATCGCCTTCTGCTGCCACTGCACTGACTGGGGGGTGGGGTGGGAGGAGCGGGGCCTCCTTCAGATCAGTGAAGGGGTGGCAGACTCCTCTCCATGCAGTAGGTAGGGGAATGACTACCCTTTCCTCCCTGGAAATCAGCTGCTATATAACACCCGGCCACCTCATGTCTGAAAGCTAGAGATCAGAATCAGACTGGGGCCTAGGCACTAAAATAAACAGCAGGGCGAGGCATTGGAGGAACAGTAATGTCTACAATCTGCAGTCATGGCCACAGGCCCCACGAAAAATGGAGGCTCAGCTCTGCTAATTGCTGTACAATCAATCAGGCCGATTGTCTCTAACACGACAAAGGATCAAGGGCACAACAATGGGATTCAAGGTTTTAAAAGAGCTCTATTCTGTATATTTTAAAAAGCGAGGTTACATGGCTTTTCCTTGACTAGCCCCAAACCCAGCCATTAGTTGTGGGCATCACCGCAGAGGCGGGTCTCACAAAATGAT